GCCCGTATAGTCCGCGGGTACAGGTAGCTTTTGTTTCCTGTACCCGGCCGGACTAACAGGAAGTGCACACTGAGTGTGCACTTCCTGCTAGTCCAGCCGGGTACAGGAGACAGTTGCTCCCTGTACCCGCGGACCATACTGGGCTCGGCCACGCTACAGAGAGGGAGTGACAGGAGGGAGCGCTGAGCGCTTCCCTCCTGTCAGCCCCTCTCCTCAGGCTGCGCCCGGGCGGTGCGGTCCGCCCTCATGGATGCACCGCCCGGGCAAAGAGCATGGGGGGGCCGGCGGGGCTGGGGGGGGATTTCCCCATAACCTGTCCCCCCCGCATGATTTGCTGGGGGGGATGCGTCCCCCCCATCCCCCCCGGTTCCTACGCCCATGGTTAGAAGGGGAGGACAGGTCGACATATGTTTTTTCAGGATAAGTACTATAGTGGCATGTTTAAGGTCAGAAGGGACAATGCCAGAAGAGAGAGAGCAGTTGAAGATGTGTGTTAAGGAAGGCACAAGACAATGGGAGAGAGATCTGATAAGGTGAGATGGGACAGGATCAAGCTGGGGGGGTGGGAGGGCAAGAGGAAAGGAGAAGCGCAGCCACCTCTTGCTCAGTAGCCGGGGAGAAAGTCTGAAGGGAAGGAAAGGCATGATCTACGTGTGGTTGAGAAAGAGAAAGGCAGGGTTCAGAGAATTCTTTCCTTAGCTGTTCAATTTTGTCAGTAAAGTAGCATGCAAAGTTTTCGGCTGTAAGGTTAGTTTGAGGGATGACCACAGCAGGGTGAAGAAGAGAGTTAAAGGTGTCAAAGAGACGCTTGGGATTGTGGGAGCATTAACTCATGAGAGAGAAAAAGTATGACTGTTTGGTGAGGGCAAGGGCTGCGCTGTATGACTGCAATATAAATCTATAATAGAGGAAGTCTGCCTGGGTGCGAGACTTCCTCCAGGAGCGTTCAGCACAACGGAAGCATCTCTGCAGGTAGCGTGTTGATTTAGTATGCCACGGTTGGGGGCGTGTCCTCCTCGAGGGGCATGTTTGGAGCGGGACTGCAGCGTTCAAGGCAGAGGTGAGGGTAGTGTTATATGTGGAGATGGCCAGTGAGGGACAGGAGAGGGAAGGGATGACAGCTGCTGGAGGTCAGTAGAATTAAGGTTCCTTCTGAGTTGAGGGGGGTTAGGCTGAGATTGTTGGGTGAGGGGGTACTCAAGAGCAAATGATAAGAGGTGGTGATCAGAGAGAGAAAATGGAGTGTTGCAGATATTAGACACTGTACATGCCTAAGAGAAAATGAGATTGAGGGTATTGCCAGCTACATGGGTGAGAGAATTAGCCCACTGCGATAGCCTGAGGGAAGAAGTAATTGTAAGTAGTTTAGAAGCTGCTGAGGTCAAGGTTGGGTTAATGGGAATATTGAAGTCCCTGAGAATTAGGGAGGGAATATTAGAAGAGAGGAAGTAGGGTAGCCAGGCAGCATTCTAAAACTTGTAATATTTGCATTTGCCCATAACAAAAGTGGTCAAGTAAGAGGAGAGGGGAACCAGGGGGACGATAAATAATGGCAATAATAGCAGAGATGGGTTTGAAAAGATGAATCGAATGGATTTCAAATGATGAGAAAGAGAGGGAAGGGGGGGGGAGGTAGGGGTAGAGGTTTGAAGGAGCAGTGAGGTGAGAGTAGAAACCCTACACCAGCACCTTTACATTCAGAGTGTCGGGTTGTGGGTAAGTTGAAGACAACCAAAGGATAAAGATGCAGGGTTAGCAGTGTCAGAGAGGGAGAGCCATGTTCCTGTTAAGGCTAGTAAATCTAGGGAACGAGAGATGAAGAGGTTGTGGATTTTGTAATATTGTAAACAGAGCGTGCATTCCAGAGGGCAGTATTGAAGGAGGATTTAGAGGAAGAGTAACATGAGATGGGTATGAGATTGGTGTGGTTCCTTGAGTTAGTATGTCGTGAGTTTGCCGAGGTGGGACAGGGGCTTGGGGAGACATCAACAGCTGCTAGGAGCAGAAGGATAGAAAGGAAGTGAAGGTGGGAGTAGGATTTGAAAGTTTTGTAGGAGGGTACGTATATAGAGGATTTGGGAGGAGTTGGAGGAGATAGGCTGGAAAGGTATACGTAGATTGCAAGGGATGAATAGAGAGGGGAGGAAAGTAAAGTGGGTGCAATGAAGATTGTGTCACCAGGAACAGGTAATCAGAAGGATTGGGATATTTCAGTAATGAGAGAAGTTAGAGTGAAAATGAAAAATAGAAGGGAGAACATTATTTAGAGAAAATGTGTTTTGTTATATAGATATGAAGATTATACATATAGACATATACACACACACATACCTATGAGTGTTTAAACCATGGTTAAGGATGCAGTTTGTTAACAGAGGGATTTCAGGGCAGGAGAGGTTTAGGGACTTGATTGGTTTGTTTTGAAAACCAGCTGATGGTAGTCTGATAGTACGTTCTTTATTTTATCTGCTATTCTGTTTTTTTTGTTTTTTTTTTTAATAATTCTTTATTTTTGGTGTGTCGTTGCATTACATCTTACAATCAAGAAAGACATTACGCATTACGTGCATTTTTGACATGGGTACAGGTACAGTGGTCGTCGTGTGCTCCTCAGTGGTTGATAACTTGGCCCCTGTAGGGGATAGCTTGCATTCTGACGACACCATTGTTTCAGTAACCAAAAACTTAAATGACCACTCTAGGCACCCAGACAACTTCAGCTTTATGAAGTGGTCTGGGTGCCAGGTCCCTCTAGAGAAACTGCTATGTTTATACTGAGGGTTAATCCAGCCTCTAGTGGCTGTCTCATTGACATCCGCTAGAGGCGCTTGCGTGCTTCTCACTGTGAAAATCACAGTGAGAGCACGCCAGCGTCCATAGGAAAGCATTGTAAATGCTTTCCTATGAGACCGGCTGAATGCGTGCGCGGCTCCTGCCGCGCATGCGCATTCAGCCGATGACGTCGCGAGCAAGGAGGAGAGGAGGAGTACAGCTCCCCGCCCAGCGCTGGAGAAAGGTAAGTGTTTAACCCCTTCCTCTCTCCAGAGCCCGGCGGGAGGGGGTCCCTGAGGGTGGGGGCACACTCAGGGCACTATAGTGCCAGAAAAACGAGTATGTTTTCCTGGCACTATAGTGGTCCTTTAACACAGTAAATTAACAATGACTAGTGGAGTGCTATTCTGGTTTTTGACACTGGCTTTTATTTTGACTATGCTGACCTCTCCTAACCTGACTTTGGCTTGTTTACAGGTCATGTTGTTATTCTATACTTCTTTAACCTCGGCTTGTTCCTTGACCATTCTGTATCTGCTTTTGACAAGACTTTAGCATTAGGAATCTAAATTGCTATTCCTAATGCTTTATTGTCCCTTCCCTCCCCTGTGCATTACTTTTTTTTCAAAACAATGTTTGACTTACCTGTAGCGCTGCGGGCCTCCCTTCCGCCCCCGTTGTTCTGTCATTTACCTTTTTTCAGCATAGATGTCCCTTGGTGCTGGTTCATGCTCTGCGTCCACTCCTCCGCCTACGTCAGGACCTAATGCGCATGCATGGCGATCGCCACAGGTTTTTCCCCATAGGAAAGCATTATATAATGCTTTCCTATGGGGTTCTGGTTGACGCTGAATGTCCTCATAGCGTGAGGACATCCAGCATCAGTTAGGCTATCTGACAGTTCCTTGTCTAGTGGCTGTCTATGAGCTGAAGTGATCTGGGTGCCTATAGTGTTTAGTGAATGAATCCCTTAATAAATTCTTCTTCAGTATTATATATTGGCAGCGTATGGAGAGTGCTGAACTATATCATGTAGAAATTAAATATTGCAGTAGAAAATCATGTTAAAGGGACAGTTTGGGAACCATAACAACTACATGTTCCACTTCTGTTGCCAATATCAGTGTTTTCCATATTTTATTGAATTTATTTTTAACAATTTAGCAGATATACTGCCAACATTAATTACTTTTTTTCAGCATGCTTTTTTTTGACAATACATGGAAAAATAGCTTTAAAAAGTTGCAGATCTTTTTGGGCCGAGCCGGGGAATATATTATTCACAGGTTTCGTCCTTGAGAATTCTCTGTGCTGGAGCCGTTAGGACGTGTCTGCACGTAATCATAGCTTTCTTTTGCTTCTTAATGATCTGTGGTAGCTCACCAAGGGCGCCTGCGTACGTTAGCTCTGTGGGGCTAATGGAAGCAGAAAAAACCCTCCCAAGCTCTCGAATTTACAACCAGGGAGGTGTTTCTCACCCTAATATAAAAGATTTATGTTGCTCTGTCCCTTTAAAGCAGGTATCTAAAACTCTAGGCCCCCTGATGCTGCTGAGCTACAACTCCTAAGCCATCTATGGCATTCACAGAATTCTGGGAATAGTAGGCCATCAACATCTGATTTTGAGATTTCTCAAACTCAAAGCCATTTATCGTCTTATTCAGTAGCATATGAATATCTTTAAAATATGGATGAACTTGATATTTCTAATGTGAAACTTCTAACTTGGCAATAGCCACAAGTGCTTCTGGGATGCCCAGGTTAGAAAAAACTGCTCAAAAAAATGGTCTGGCCAACAACCAGGGTAAAGCAACCCCTATATTATCATACATTATTTATAGTATCTAGACTGCTCCTATAATTAGTGTATACTTATGCTGTATTTATCTACCCGTGTATATATATACATATGTGTACATTTAAATTCTAAGTTTATATGAAGCTCTTATATTTCTTTTTTTCATTGTCGTCACAAATCAGTGGGATCTGACTTTCACCAGCTTTTTCTTTTTGCAGACATCCGAGGGTGTTGAGATCTGCTGGTGTGATTGCATCTTGCTGCACAGGTGTTAATTGGGAGAAAAGTTAATTAAACAAGGCTTTAAAAGGGCTTGGAAGTATCATATATCTGCATTTTTATTCTCAGGTGACACATACTCTTATTGAGTGGAGAACAGTGACATATTAGGTAAATATAATTACTACGTAGCAACACAATATACTTTTAAATGATGCAAATACTATTATTTTCTAAACTTGCAGTGTGATTCACTAAGGTAAGAATTGTCAGGAATTCAAAGACTGAAAAGAAGATTTTTTTTCCAGTAAAATTATTTTCTTTTTTTAATTTGAAATTGTTTTAATGTACTTCGACTTCCCAACCATGATTATTTTAATAAATATATCTGTAGGTGATAACTTTAACAGGACTGCTTGTAACTGAACGCAAGAAATGGAGCTAGAATGATTCCTTGCCTACAATAAAATACAAAATGGGCTATTTACTAAAAGGAGAATTGTTGAGAATTCAAAGTATGGATATATGGACGCATCAATAGTTTGACCCTTTTAAAAAATTTTTTTAAAGACAAAGCGATGATCTGTAACATTCCATTGGTTTTCAGTGTGGGTTACATCTTTTGGCAAAGGGTCAGCTCTCTTCCTGTAAAGAGAGATCTAATGTTTAAACCTCTTTAATTGCACAGTCTATTTAATTTAGAATGTATCTCCTGTTCTGTTAATAGACTTCTAGACAGCAACAACGTCCTGAATGATTAAAGTTAAATTTTCAGAGTAGGAGATAACTTCTAAAGCCTCTCTGATATTGACTTCTAGTGGCATAGGCTGATTAATCGCTAGTGACATAATTTGTGTATTCTTGGCAATCACTTTATCAGCATTTTCTTATATTTAGTTTTTTTCACTGTTCGTACCCAGTGGCACTTTAGTTTATTTTGGCGGCTTTGATTTAGCCTGTTCCAATTAACCTAAAAGATGCAGATGTATATTGCTTCACTCATGTGTGTCTACATTTACCACAATTACTAGCCGCTTATAGCTGGCGTACTCTGTGAGCACCTAGTATGACCTTATTCTGTGTTTAACTTGGCACGCCGCATGATATGTATGTCTTTGGCTACTATGTCATTGCCATGCTTTGCTTTTAACACCTGCACAACAAAAATAAAGAATTAAAACAAAACTTCTGTAGCAAGGTAATATCTGACTGAAATTAAGTCATTCTTGTCATGCAGGTTGAGTGAGTCGCAGCCAGGGGAGGATTGGCTAGGGCTGAATTGACCTAAACAAGTTACCTAACTCCTAAATGGCAGATAATTGAGCAGTGAGACTGCAGGGGCATGATCTACACACCAGAACTGCTTCATAAAGCTGTGGTTTTGTTGCCTATAGTGTACAATTTAAGGTCAAAATAATTAAACTGGAAACATTCTTTGCCACCTTTGCTTAAAGTTTTTGGTTATTCTTGAATAAAACTTTAAATTCCTTTTGAATGTTCTACCCTACCATTTACCTTTTGTGTCACTATACCCCACTCCCTCTAGCATTAAACGGGGGCCCTCAATCCTTCTGTTCTTGTGCGTCCAACTTGTCTGGTTACAAATACGTGTCTGTTCGTCCACCCATTGTACAGCGCTATGGAACTTGTTGGCACTTTATAAATAATAATTGACACTGTCTATTAACTCTATGTATGTTTGATTATTTAACCCGTAATGTGTAGATCAGAAATCATGATCTGTGAATGACAGAATTATCATAAAATATACAAAAATTGGTAGTCTGTGCATGTATAACTTCAATGTCCCTCTTCTAGCTGAAAGCTTGTTCACACTCCCAAAACAATTACAAACCCACTGCCCTCCAACTCTATCCCCTGACAGCTAAACATTTTTTCATTAGTGACTAAAACTTCATAGCTTGTCTCACATTGTAAGATTAACCATTCCACTGCCATTCACAACACGAGAACCTCTTCAATCCTACATCTTGTTTCAGTATAATTGTATCCACTCATTCACTACCATTGTAGGTATTGCAGAGTACATGAAAATCCCTGCAATGTGCTCATTGTTATCAGAATCTTCCTGTCTGCCAAAATGCAGCCATAACCTACAACTATTGCCGTGGGGTGTAAAAGAAAAGTTAATTTCATTTTGCATTGCCTTGTAACGTAACATTAAAGTTAATGAGAATATCCTCATAACTGGGCAGAAAGTTGTTTAAAAAACTAAAATAAATAAAATTACTAATTTTAGTTGCAGGCGATTTCCCCCTGCCCCCTAACCAACCTATGTTCCATCACCACCCCCGGGTTAGCCCCCCCATATTGATAATTTTAACAAAAGATTATCCCATTTGTTAGAACTTTGTTAGATCAGGTTTGATCAACAATTTTTTTTCGTTAGATCTACTCTAAAATATGCGATATTAACAATCATTGTCGGGGGGGGCTAACCCGTAGCCAGCCCCCCCTCAACAAAAATTTGGAGAAAATGTTGTTGATTATGATAGCTCTACGTTAGATCAGGTTTGATCAGGCAAAATTTTTGTTTGATCTAGTCTAATTACTGAGATATTGCATATATAATTAGGGGGGGCTGGCCCCCCCTCAACTGAAATTTGGACAAAATGTTACTGATTTTGGTAGCTATTCGTTAGATCAGGTTTGATCAACTGTTTTTTTCGTTAGATCTATCACGCAAGAGGCGGTATTCCCTACTTAACTTTGTGGGCGTGACTACGGGTTAGCCCCCCCTCAAGTGAAATTTGAATATTTTTTTTATTGATTTTGGTAGATATTCGTTAGGTCAGGTTTGATCAACTGTTTTTTTCGTTAGATCTATCACGCAAGAGGCGGTATTCACTACTTAACTTTGTGGGCGTGACTACGGGTTAGCCCCCCCTCAAGTGAAATTTGAATATTTTTTCATTGATTTTGGTAGCTATTCGTTAGATCAGGTTTGATCAACTATTTTTTTCGTTAGATCTATCACGCAAGAGGCGGTATTCACTACTTAACTTTGTGGGCGTGACTACGGGTTAGCCCCCCCTCAAGTGAAATTTGAATTTTTTTTTATTGATTTTGGTAGCTATTTGTTAGATTAAGTAAGATCAACTGTTTTTTTCCGTAAGATCTATCACGCAAAAGGCGGTATTCACAATCTTATTTTAATTTTGCACATAAATACCAGTAAATTTTCATATCAAGCCACAGGTGACATCATAATTTAGGAATTTGCTTGGATTTGCTAACACAATGTGTAGATCATTTTCAATATTTTTTTTTTATTCTCTACATGCACAGTATTGAGGTGATAAAGTCCAGCATATGCCCAGCCTGAACTTATTAGTGATATTTGAATACAGTTGCAAGAAAAAGTATGTGAGCCCTTTGGAATGATATGGATTTCTGCACAAATTGGTCATAAAATGTGATCTGATCATCATCTAAGTCACAACAATAGACAATCACAGTCTGCTTAAACTAATAACACACAAAGAATGAAATGTTGCCATGTTTTTATTGAACACACCATGTAAACATCCACAGTGCAGGTGGAAAAAGTATGTGAACCCCTAGACTAATGACTCTTGAAGTAATTGGCAGCAATGGATTCAACCAAAGTTTCCTGTAGTTGCAGATCAGACTGCCCAGGTCAGGAGTAATTCTTGACCATTCCTCTTTACAGAACTGTTTCAGTTCAGCAATATTCTTGGGATGTCTGGTGTGAATCGCTTTCTTGAGGTCATGCCACAGCATCTCAATCGGGTTGAGGTCAGGACTCTGACTGGGCCACTTCAGAAGGTGTATTTTCTTCTGTTTAAGCCATTCTGTTGTTGATTTACTTCTATGCTTTGGGTCATTGTCCTGTTGCAACATCCATCTTCTGTTGAGCTTCAGCTGGTAGACAGATGGCCTTAAGTTCTCCTGCAAAATGTCCTGGGAATTTGGGAATTCATTTTTCCTTCGATGATAGCAATCCGTCCAGGCCCTGACGCAGCATGCAGCCCCAAACCATGATGCCCCCACCACCATACTTCACAGTTGGGATGAGGTTTTGATGTTGGTGTGCTGTGCCTCTTTTTCGCCACATATAGTGTTGTGTGTTTCTTCCAAACAACTCAACTTTGGTTTCATCTGTCCACAGAATATTTTGCCAGTACTGCTGTGGAACATCCAGGTGCTCTTGTGCAAACAGTAAACGTGCAGCAATGTTTTGTTTGGACAGCAGTGGTATCCTCCCATGAAATCCATTCTTGTTTAGTGTTTTACGTATTGTAGATTCGCTAACAGGGATGTTAGCATTTGCCAGTGACTTTAAGTCTTTAGCTGACACTCTAGGATTCTTCACCTCATTGAGCAGTCTGCGCTGTGCTCTTGCAGTCATCTTTACAGGACGGCCACTCCTAGGGAGAGTAGCAGCAGTGCTGAACTTTCTCCATTTATAGACATTTTGTCTTACCTCGGACTGATGAACAGCAAGGCTTTTGGAGATACTTTTATAACCCTTTCCAGCTTAATGCAAGTCAACAGTTCTTAATCGTAGTTCTTCTGAGAGCTCTTTTGTGTGAAGCATCATTCACATCAGGCAATGCTTCTTGTGAAAAGCAAACCCAGAACTGGTGTGTGTTTTTTATAGGTCAGGGCAGCTGTAACCAACACCTCCAATCTCATCTCATTGATTGGACTCCAGTTGGCTGACATCTCACTCCAATTAGCTCTTGGAGATGTCATTAGTCTAGGGGTTCACATACTTTTTCCACCTGCACTGTGAATGTTTACATGGTGTGTTCAATAAAAACATGGCAACATTTCATTATTTGTGTGTTATTGGTTTAAGCAGACTGTGATTGTCTATTGTTGTGAGTTAGATGATGATCAGATCACATTTTATGACCAATTTGTGCAGAAATCCATATCATTCCAAAGGGTTCACATACTTTTTCTTGCAACTGTATGCATATATAACCTGAGTAATGCTGTGTATGACTGTGTTAATAAAGGGCATGCAGTGTGTGTCCGTGGTGTTCTGTGTTTGTGTTAATAAGTAGATTTGGGGGGGTGAGACTTTTTTTAACTTACTCCCGCTCTCCCTGCCTCTTACCTGTGGGCAGGGAGGTGGGATACATGATTCCATGGTGGAGCTGGAGGACAGTGAAGAGGGAGCCCTGAGAGTGATCTTACAATCAGTGCCGGACTGGCCCACCGGGATACTGGGAAATTTCCTGGTGGACAGCAGCAAGCTCGAATACCAGCAAGCTCCAATAACCAGCATGATGAATCTATTTAAATATTTCCCCTCGGACTGTGTCAGCCTGTCAGTCTGAGGGGTGTAAGGATGGAGGAGCTTGGGGCTGGGTGCTGGTGCCTCTTCCAGTGGCTGGAGGGAGACCTATCAGTCTCCCTGCACAGCGTAAATCAATTTCGGCCGCATGCCCCACCCCCACACGGAAGCGCTGCCTCCTGAACAGAAGCTCAGCTTTCCGCACGCAAGCTCTGCCCCCAGGCATGTCTCCCTGGACAGCGTAAATCAATTTCGGCCACATGCCCCGCCCCCACATGGAAGCACCGCCTCCTGAACAGAAGCTCAGCCTTCCGCACGCAAGCTTCGCCACCCACACATGTTGCTGACCTGTCTAGAAAGATGCCCACTGGACCACCAGGAAATAATTACAGAAAACTAAAAGGTATTTACCCTTACAGAGCCCCCTACCCACTCATAGCCTCCCTACCCACCATATTAGAAAGAAAAAAATGAATGTGCCAGGCCTGGACAAACATATTTGGATACCAGACCATTACACCAACAGGTTGACGTATTATTATTATTATTATTATTATTATTATTATGGGAAAAGGGTATTCATGGAGGTGATACCTTGAACGACTGCTACAGTTCATAAGCACTGTGCCAATGCCAAGACAGATCAAAATTTGACATGGCAGGACACAAAAAATTGAACTGTCCCAGCAAATTAAGAAATGTTGACAATTACCACAACAGGAGGACAGTCTTAAATCTGAGGGGCAAATGTTTAAAAGTAATAACAGGAAGTATTAGTTTACTAAGAGGGTAGTGGATGCATGGAATAGCCTTCCAGCTGAAGTGGAATAGGTTAATACATTGAAGGAGTACAAGCATGACATAAGGCTAGCCTAGATATAAGATAAGACTAATAGGGGCCTCGGGATAAGGACTAATGCAAGTAGTCCAACATTTTTTTATGCAGAATGTGGCCGGACTAGAATGAGTTTTAGGTGCTGGCACTTCCTATGCTTCTATGAATGAAAGAGGTGGCAGCAGTCATCAAATGTCTAAAAATCTATATTTCTGAAAATTGCTAGGGTGGCAGGCATTTGTTGGTATGTAATAACTTAATTTTTGAACATTAGGTCAGCATGTGTTGTCCTGTTTTGCAGGATTCAGTAATGTATCTGTATTCAGAAAGAACTGAACTTTTTTTTTAACCACGGCCATTACCTTAGTATTGTTGCCAGATTCTAAATGAGGTCCTTGCCTTCTATTTCTATAATGATGCATGTACACACACATAAGCAAAAGGAGCACATTGAAAGTTTTCTTTTTTAAACAGTTTAGTATATTAAAAGTAAATATAAAAGTTGTTTGCATTGTCTAAATGTGAGCAATACTTTGTAGAAACAAATGTATAAAAATGGAAACATGAGGGGGGGGCGGAGCCAAGCTACTGCACTGAATGGCCGCACACAGTCCGAGCTCCGGACGAAAAAAACACGATTATCTCTATAATACCGGTCAAACCTACCGGACCGGAGACAAAACGGGTGCCAAAGCTGCTGAAGCAGAAATGGGTCGAAAAACGAAGAAACCCAAGCCCGACAAGCCACGGCAGCAAGCAAGCATAGGCGATCTCTGGAGGCAGGCTCGGGGCGCGATGGGCCCTGACATGGCCGCCTTCCCGGACGAGTATTCCGACCTCTCGGACGACTTCACGGCAGACCCAGAGGTAGCTACCAAAACTGCCCCACAGAACCCTTGCCAATCTTCCCCACAAGCTGATTCTACCCCAGTCACCACGGCGGTGCTGAAAGAACTGCTCACTGGGGTACAGCTCGCTCTACAGGCAGACATGGCCCAGATACGTACAGACCTGCAAGGCCTGACAGGCCGCATGGGCGCCCTAGAACATGGCGCGAACCAGAACGCTAAACAAACACAGCAGTTACAACAAAAGGTCTCTGAGCTGCAGAGACAGAATATACAGTTTGAAAAACACTTTGCCACACTAGAAGACCAAAGAAGAAGCAAGAACATGAAGATCAGGGGCATAGCAGAGGAAACGCCGGAGCCTGAGCTGCCCCATCTTGTACGACGGCTCCTCACAGCCCTCCTTACGCCTAAGCATGCCAAACAGATAATCCTAGAGGGGATGTTTCGCCTCCCACGGCCAGCCAAAGCCTTAGGTACCCTACCCAGGGACCTGTTAGTACGCTTCACTAGCAACAAAGACAAAATGGCAGTGATGAACGCAACCAGAACCCAGTCCCCCTACATATTTGAGGGCATGTCGCTCACATTCTATACAGACCTGTCACGGTCCACAATGGCCTGGTGCCGCTCTCTCCAACCCTTCACTTCCCTACTTCGCGCACTAACCATCACCTATAAATGGAGGGGCCCACATGCGCTACAAGTAAGCCACGGAAACAGCCAATACATCGTTCAAGACATGCAGGGCGCACGCGACCTATTGCCCACCTTGGGCCTGCGAAAGGACTCCTTACCTTCAGGGGGGCGAAGACCGACCAATGCACCATCTGGGATGGGTGACCCCGCCACGTCTCTTCCGTTTGTCCCCCGAGAGCTCAATGCCGCGAACTACGCAGCGATTACGACCTGAGGAGACCAGAAGGGAGAATATGGGACTGTGTCCGCATCTATATGGACTCCTGAACATAACACTGGACATAATGCACAAGTTGACTTAAAATTTTATTTCCTTCCTTTTTTTTTTAATGTTGTCTTAATGTTGGTCACTCTTTGCCGCCCGGCCATGCCTTAGGTTTAAGCGAGACCGACCCACTAAGCACCCACTCTCTCACTATGAGGGCGGAAGAATGTTTTCACTCCCACAGCGCCCTGTGTCACAGGGCACCACACAGTAGTCCCTGATAGGGAACAGGCCTTTGGTACATCTCCCCTCCACCCCCCACCCAGGGTTACAGGGTATCAACCGATGCTTATCATGTCGCAAGACACTAATCTCACTCCTTTTGAACAGCACACAACGCTTACAATGCTGCCACCCGCACTATCCACATTGAGTGGTTTCACTACTACGACACCGCAGCGCCGGCAAGCATTAAAGGCAAGCCGAGCACACCTACGAAGGTATGGCCTTCGTCACATCACTTCGTACTCCACTACACGTAGGTCTGCAGCACAACGATACAAGACTATAAAACTATAAAATGCGCAATACAAGCACTAGCCATGTAATTGTTTTATGTTGATTTTTATACCATGCTTGTCACAGCTATTGTGGCGTTTCAAGCCGATTTGTTATAATGTGCAAATAAAATAAAGAATAAAAAAAAAAAAAAAATGGAAACATGAACTTCTGAAATGCAAATCTCTGCTTTTACATAGAACTACTTTTGAAAGCCCTGATACCTGATTAATGTATTTATGGATTGAGCTATATCATCTCAGACATTTCCTTTTCCTCTGCAACAAATACTGTAATGCCCCCACCCTCAGGGTCCCCCTCCCGCCCGGTTCTGGAAAGGGGAAAGGGGTTTAAACTTACCTTTTTCCAGCGCTGGGCGGAGAGCTCTCTGCCTCCGATCCTCCCCGCTGGCTGAATGCGCACGCGCGATAAGAGCTGCGCGCGCATTCAGCCGGTCACATAGGAAAGCATTCTCTCACTGTGAAAATCTCATTGACAGCCACTAGAGGAAATAGGGGAAGGCTTAACCCATTCACAAACATAGCAGTTTCTCTGAAACTGCTATGTTTATGAAAAAAAGGGTTAACCCTAGCTGGACCTGGCACCCAGACCACTTCATTAAGCTGAAGTGGTCTGGGTGCCTAGAGTGGCCCTTTAACATATATAACTACTTCTGAAAGCCCACATACTTTGTTTGGGTCAACTGTTTTTACAGTGCGTACCATATCGTCATATACCTCCCAAACATTTTCTTTTCTTCTACAACATGAAATGTAATGTCCTCCTTGAACATGCATTATAACTGACCCTAGTGTATAAACCATATCTGATATGGTCACCTCATTGTGAAATTCAGAGAGCCATTGCTTTGTTGTTGGTAAACCAACACGTGGCTCGATTATGAGATGTGGTCCAGGTTTACAGATCATTGTAGTACGCTGATTGCAATCGGGTGAACATGGTCTGTTAATGACCTTAGAGGAGCTTTGTAAAGCATGCTCAAAACCATGTAATCTTCTGCA